CGCCGTGTGAATGATTTCAAAAGTTCGTGCACTATGTAGAGTACCATCACGTTGGTGCAAAAGCAACTGAATAACATTGCCCTTGCGAAATGGACTACAACGGTCTCGGATAGCTATTGATTATCCGCATGCCATTTGTTGCACCAGAAACTGACTACACGATAATTATGCGTTTTATTATACATTGACGGAATACGTTACGAAGTAGAACAAAAAATGCAGAAAGAAGTCATCACGCAACAGAGTCGATATTTATGAGGGTAGTACGTACAGTAGGCAATTTTAAAATAATACTCTACATGAATAATTAAGTAATGAAACTCTTCAGTCGGTTAATGACAGAGCAGCTTGCACGCGATACTTTTACGAGAAACTATGAAATGTAGAAGTAGAAAGACCATTGTGCAGTATTACGCAATCGTAACAATACGCATTTTTGTGAACCTTGTTGAGTACCAAATGTCTGCACCGGATGATATCTATTGTCAGATTTTTGTGACGTAAGTAGACCTACAAGTGGCCAATGAGGATTAATTATTGATTACCAGTATTGTTGGGTGCAACACACACTATTAACATGTTGGGTGCAACACATTCTCTATTAATACTAAATTAAAATAATGGAGCTACTAAGAAAAAAAAATATCATATAATTTTGCAATAATTTCACTACATATAAGACTATATTTAATTTTTAAATGTAAATGAAGTTTGTCATTTCAATCCATACATAAAATTAAAACGTTGCCCCATAATGTAATACGTGATTGGAATTGTAGAAAAGTTCTGAGTTTAGAAAATATCGTTTTGTAATAAACCGATTGTAATAAGAAGAACAGAAAGAAAACATTTGGTCACTTGAATATGACCAATTCTGTATAAATTCAATTCACACAACAGGTTTGTGTTATCTGAGGTAAAAAACATTTCACATAACATATTTTACATACAATTTTTCTAAAAACGAAAACGAGTTAATTCGATATATTTTCTAAGTCGTACGAAACTAAATACATTAGTGATAATGAGATTCAGAAGATTCGAAAAAGGCAAAAAATAAAAAATAAATTCGTTCGATTTCAAAAGCAGAAATATTAAGGAAAAGATATTACACCTTCGTTATTTTAAAGGCAAAAGTAAAAGATTCCATACGTTTATGTCATTTACTTGTGTTAATCGAGTTTGTTCTGAAAATTTTCGAGTATATTAAAATTTGTCTTACCTTCTCATCAATCACTATAACTTATATCGAAACTTTGTTTAAAGTCTCCACTATATTTGTTTTATTTCTACAAAGATACTTTACAAACATTATCAATAAGTATCATAACATATTTCGTTCTGCAAAAATAATTATCTACTGTATAACGTATAACTATAACTTATAATTATAACAATATTTGTACACTTCTACGTTGTAGTCTCTTTTAATATGGTACGCAAAGCGGTACAAAAGGAGACAGCGTTCGACAAGTACTGAA